CCCCCCCCCCGCCCCCGCAGTCATAATCAGAGCCCTTAACGTCATCGGCACCCTGCTGAGCACTTGCCAAGCACAGAACTGACAATGTTACCCGGTTTCGTCGTCATGACAACCCCGTGCGTTATAAGCATGATTGTCACCACCTCCGTTCTGCAGATGTGGGACCGAGGCACAGAGAGGTTGACTAACTCACCGAAGGTCACAGAGCCAGGACACGGAGGGCCAGATTCTCGCACACTGCTCTCCCGTGCCGCCTCCGTCACGAGCTGGACGGGACGCCCCCCAAATGTGCCTCCTGCCCTTGCCGAGTCCCCTCCCCGTGGCCTCAGAAGTCAGCAGGGAGGACAGGCAGGAAGAAGGGGGAAGGGCCGCTGTGAGGCACCTGGGTGGGTTACCGTTTCTACGGCAACGTCACAGGTTTCCTGGGCTCAGCTGCACCACAGCCCCCAGAGGAAAAGGAGACCCAGCGAGAGAGGACAGGCCTGGGGCCTCGCTCACCTCGGCCGGGGCCTCGCCGGCACAGGGGCTGCGGGCCTGTCAGTGCACAGAAGTCACAGAAGCTCCAACTTCTCGCCAGGCCTTTCTGCTCAAGTCCCGTGTCCACATTCTCCAAGTCCTGACCCTCGAAGCCACCAGAAGAGGCCGTGGGGCAAGGTCCTCGTGGCTCCCACGTAAACCGCCTCCGCCTGCACGGGTGCCGCCCTCCCTGCGGCCGCCACCCACTTCCTGTCTCAGTTCTCCGGGTGCAGCCGTCGCAGGGCAGGGGCAGGGCCGGCCGGCCGGGAAGTTCTCCTTCCCCCGGGGGAGCCAGTGCCGGGGTGGGGGTGGGGGCAGCAGCTTCTCCAAGACCATGCACCTGTTCCCAGGCTCCTTCCAGAAACACACAGAACTAAACACCTGGCCCCTCGCTGTGGCCCCGTGCTCCTCGATGAGGCCCTGAGAGGCCCCCGGAGTGGGTTTGGCCAGGGGATCCCCGGGGGGCTTGCTGGCTCTACCCCCAAGACTGTGAGTAGAACCCCCTGCAATGTGTGCAGAAACCTCTAGGAGGAGGAGTGACGAAGGCAGACTCAGAGAGGGCTTCTTTAAAACCGTGAGTCCCCCCCCCCCAAGTTAGGGGCGGGGCCCAGAAACTGCTTTCTCACGGGCTCGCGCCAAGACCCAAGACCATACGACTGCAGGCCCTTTGCACTTGTTCCACGAGAGCCCTTGTGCCCCGCTTTCCCCCAGACCGGCGCCGCGCTCCCTCCGTCTCACCCGTCTCTGCTGAACATTCCTCGGAGTTCTTTCCCGACGGCCTGGTCTAACAGACAAACTAGTCATTTTGCAGAATCGGCACGTCCTGAGCAACGTTCGGGAAACACGCTAAGGAAGATTTCGTTGTTAGCCTGAAACTCGGATGTAACTGGGTGCCCTGTATTTTCATTTGCTAAATCTGTGGTTCCTGGGGGGGGGGGGGTCTGCACCCCCAGCCCCTGAGACAGGAGGCCGTTTGCAAGCTGGAGTTTTCAGGGGCGGCAGGCGGGGGCGCCTGTCACCTGCCCCCACCCACCAGAGAGAAGGCAAGCGGTCCGGGGTGGGCCTGGGCACCTGCAGAGGGGGCATAGGGATTTGGGGGCCAAGACCAGACCTAGGCTCTTTCTTCTCTCGTCTGCCCACCCCAGGTGGTCACACACGTCAGCGTGGGTCACGGCAGGTCGGTCACCTGCTCCACGTGGGACCCGGGGACACCTGCCCGAGGAAGCCGGCTCCAAGGGGCCGACTCAGAAATGGCCAACTCCCACCCTGGACGCCAGGAACTATGGCGACTTGGGGTTGGGGTGAGTCGAGGGTTGGTTTGTGCTGACGTCCTAGCCCCAGGGCCCTGGAATGTGACCTTAATTTGGAGACAGGATCTGTGAGCTGATAGAAAACATGTTGGTCTCCACCCCTGGCTCCTGAAACCCTTGCCATTTCCTGGTTTATTTATTTTGAGAGACTGCACGCGAGTGAGGGAGAAGGAGAGAGTCTCAAGCAGGTCCCTCCCTGTCGGCACAGAGCCCGACACGGGGCTCAAACCCACGGACCACAAGCTTGTGACCTGAGCCGAGGTCAAGAGTCAGGTGCTTAACCGACTGAGCCACCCAGGCGCCCCGACTGTCTCCTGTTCTAATGAGGCCACTCCCGATGGGCTCCTGGGTGGAGGCGGTCACGGGAAAGACTAAGCGGTGATTCTCAGGAAGCGTGGGACTTCCAGAAGCCCCCTCCCCGCCCCATTCTCTTGAGAAGGGAGACGGACAGAAAATGGAGTTAATACTTGGTCACACCTACGTGATGAGGCCCCCATAGAACCCCACTAGTCGCGGGTTCCAAGAGCTTCTGGGAGCGCGGGGAGAGTGACACAGGCACCCGGGGCCTGGAGCTCACACGGACCTCGCTCCCCGACTTCTGTGAGGCGCTCTCGCGGATCAATCCACCCTGGGGGAGGGATCGTGGGAACTCCGGTTTGTGGCCAAAGTGGCAGAGTCGTGGGTCACCCGGGGGGCTTCCTACTTGCCGCTGGCGTCGGCCGTGGGGGGCGGTCTCGGGGCACCGAGCCCTTCACCCGTGGGCTCGACGCGACACCCGGGTGCACAGGGTCAGAACCGAGTTAAAGCACAGGACCCGGTTCGTGTTGCAGAATTGCTCGCTGGCGGGGAGAACGCCACACGTCTGGTGCGCCCAAGTGTCAGAAGCGACAGGTTCTGTGCGAGTAGGAAGGGAGACAGATGGGGAGGAAAAGATCTGGAGTTTTCCCTACAAAGGAGGCAGGCTGAACCGGAGTCTGACCTTAACACCGTCTTCAGGACGTCGTCAGGAGGCGGTGAGGTCAGGAGGGTGGGCCTGGTCCCGTATGACCTCACCCGAAGGGGGACTTGGGCACAGACGCGTGTGGAGGGAAGACGGTGAGGACGCGGGCAGGAGACGGCGTCGCAGCTCACGGAGAGAGGCCTGGACCCGTTTCCCCCCCCCCCCCCCCCACGGCGCCCAGACGACCCAACCCGCCCACAGCTTGGGCTGGACTTCTAGCGCCCACACGGTGAGGTCACGACACCGGGCTGGGGCGCCTGGGTGGCTCGGTCGGTTACGCGGCCGACTCCGGCTCGGGTCATGATCTCACAGTGCGTGGGTTCGAGCCCCGCGTGGGGCTCTGTGCTGACAGCTGGGCGGCCTGGAGCTCTGGGTTTCCACGGCTCCGTGACCCGGGGAAGCCCCGCTGGGGCGGCCTCCAGCCCCAGGAGCCTTGCTGGTTCTGGCTTGGGTGGCGGTGTGGACCCAGCTCTGCTCGGCCAGCGTCCGGATCTTGGACCCCAGCCTCCAGAGCCGCGAGGAATCCGTGTTCGTCGTTGAACCCCCCACCCCCCAGCCCCCGCCCCTCCAGGCCAACGTACGGAGACGGATGCCAATTTTTAGTGACTGCCTGCTCGTGCCTGGGGACCCCGGGTCAGAGGGAAGTGGGGAGAGCGGAGGGGTGGTGGTCCTGGGGCCCTGTGCCCCCCAGACGGGCCGTCAGCGCCAGGAAGGGTCTCCTCACACCCACCCAGATCCCTCCACGCCAGCCACACGTGTCTCTGCAGCCCCCAGCTGCCCCCGATGCTCCCCCACCGCTCTGGCCACGCAGGCTGGACGTGCTGCCGTTTGCTGGTGACTTCCCCCGAGTGGGGTGCCCAGGGACGGGTCAGGTGGGCTGAGGCCAGGACGGCTCCACAGACACCTTCCTGTTTGATGTACCCTGAGGTCTCATTAGCCCTCCTGGACCCGGTGCGGACTGTGCGACCTTCCAGGCCGCACATTCCACCTCAGGCGCATCCACTGCAGACACCTTCGCCTCGGTTTCCCTAACTGTAAAATGGGGGGAGCACAGAGAGCACCTGCCCAGCAGGCTTGCGGAGGGAGGGGAGGCGAGGACCGCGGGCCGCCGCCAGGGGGCGCCCGAGCGCCACCGCCCCACGCTGTGCCGGGTCCCGGCTGCACCTCTGACCCACAGCCCCGCAGCCCTGGGCCAGGAAAGCTGCTCCCAGCGACCCCTGAACCAGCTGCGCCTTCCCTGCACCCCACCTCCCTCCTGGAAGGCTGAGTGTGTCAGAGACCCGCCCCCAGATGTGCATCAAACCTCAGGCGCTGTGGCCGATGAGCAGGTGTGAAGGGTGCCTGGTGGGAATGGCAGGGACAGTGTGACCGGGCGTGATGCAGATTTGCTGAAAGAATGCATGTGACCCGCAGCCCGGTCAAGGCCAAGAATACGGCAGAGCTGAGTCTGGCGCTTTCCCCAACAATCCCTTCGCTCACCCGGCCTTGGTGACCCTCACGGACCCTGTCACCCCTCATGCCCGTTACCCTGCATGAGAGCTCCCAGAACAGGGTCCCTTCAGTGGAGAACGCTCCAGGGCCACCAAGACAGGCGGCCCAGGTGGTGAAGTAAAAGGGTCTGGGGAATGATGCCTGGGACACAGAAGCAGATACCTGAATTCCACTTCCTCCTCTTGGCAAGGAAATGGGGCCAAACCTCTTTCCGGTCAGGGCCCCTTCCTCTTAGTGGAGGATGAAGCCAAGGGTCCATCTAGCTTAGAACAGAGAGAAAGTCCTGTTTCCAAAGAATCTGCCCAGGTCTTGGCAACCAAGGGAGTATCAGGAGGACATGATCTATGATGGTCAATTTTATATATCAAGTTGACTAGGCCATAGGGTACCCTATTCGACGTTTGGTCGAATGTTAGACTGGATGTGTCTGTGACGGTGTTTCTGGACGAGAGTAACATTTAAACCAGTAGCCCGAGCAAAGCAGATTGCCTTCCCTACGTGGGTGGGCCTCGCCCAATCAGTTGAAGCCTGACTAGCACAAAAAGGCTGAGGCCCCCAGAGTTAAGAGGAAAACCCTCTATCTTCATTGTTTTTAAGCTCGGGCATTAGCTTCTTCCTGTCTATAGACCTGAACTGAAACATCCACTCTTCTCGGGTCCCCAGCCTGCTGGCCTTCGGACTAGAGCTGTATCATCACCCCTCCTGGGTCTCCAGCTTGCTGACTGCACACTTGGGACTTGTCGGCCTCTGTGATCACGTTATACATATATATGTATATATACATCACACACATACGATATTCCTTATGTGTGTATATGACATATATACGTCTATATAAGATATTCCTGCTTTGCGCACATACACGCATCTAGTTCTGTTTCTCTGGAAAACCCTAATACGGTGTTCTAATCAAGAGCAACACGACACCGTCTTACTCTCTTCTGCCACAGTGGCAAAGACCAGTCCTTTGGGCACAGGGAGGAAATTGGCACGTGTGCAAATCTGTCGAGTCAACATATCCTCTTTGGAGCCCGTCCTTGGAAACAGCTGCACGTGGTGGGGGCGTCTCGCGCACGTTAACGACGTTCATGAGGACGTTGTGGTTCCCCCACCCGCCAGCGCCCACGGCCTCCCTCGTCAAGGGGCTCCAACGCCTGGCCAATCCAACCAGCCTCCCGGCCACAAAGACTGGCTCAGGGTTGGGCCCCTGGCCACGCCAGGCCAATTAGAGTAAATGAGTAAATGCAGGAACTGATTTTATTTTTATTTTTTTAAAGAGAGCTTGCTTCCTCTTCTGAGAAGATAGTTGTCAGGCTCCCGGGAGCCATCTTCCACCGCGAGGGAGACGGCCAGCCTGCCGATCCCAAGCCCCGGGAAAGACTTAGAGCCACATCAGCCCCACGCCAGAGACTTCTCCCAGGACAATCGTTTCTCTTGATTGATTCGGTAAGTTTAATTTTCGTTCCCATAATCCTGACTGGTTCCACAGGGCTGCACCGACCGCTACAATAGCGGGAAAGACCATCCAGCGGCCATCAACAGGAAGTTAAGTAACTGGCCAGGATCCTGATAACGAAATCTTTCGTAACGATTAAACGCGAGGATGTAGGTCTATAGTTGTACATGTAGAGACGAGTCCACATTATAGTATCGAGTTCTTTTGAAGGTAATAAGACAGCCACAGAATATGCTCTGGACGAGTATGCAGCAGGAGTCTTACCTCCAGGGGGTAGAACCATAATTAAATATATGTAACAACTTTAGTGTTGTCTTGTTATCCTTCAGTGCCAACCTCTTACTTTTCTTTAATGTTTGTTTGTTTGTTTGTTTCTTTATTTGGGGGGGAGGGGCAGAGAGAGAGGGAGAGAGCATCCCAAGACTGCACGCTGTCAGCGCAGAGCCCGATGCAGGGCTCGATCCCACAAACTGTGAGATCATAACCTGAGCAGAAATCAAGAGTCGGAGGCTTAATAGGCTGAGCCATCCAGACACTGCTAACTTCATACTTTTCTAATCAGAAAAAAAAAATTACTTTCACTCTGGAAAAACGAGAGAATATTTGACATGTTGTGTTTTTGAGAGTTCGGAATGTTCCCGTGTCAAAATGGCCACTTAACAGGGCCCCTGGGGCTCAGTCAGTTAAGAATCCAACTTCGGCTCAGGTCATGATCTCACGGTTCGTGGGTTTAAGCCCCGCGTTGGGCTCTGTGCTGGCAGCTCGCAGCCTGGAGCCTGCTTCGGATTCTGTGTCTCCCTCTCTCTCTGTCCCTCCCTTGCTCATGCTCTCTCTCTCAAAAATGAATAAACGTTAAAAATATTTTTTTTAATGGCCACTTAACTACACATGCCTACTGGAAGGGTGGAGGTCCAGTGACGGCAGCCAATGAGGTGGGGATTTGCAGCAGCGGAAACTCTCCTTCCCTGCCCGGTGGGGATGCAAAGTCATGCAGCCGCTTTGGAGGACATTTTGGTGCCTTCTTAACAAAACCTAAAAAACACACCCTTCCCGTACGATCCAGCAATCACGCTCCTGGGTGTCTCCCCGAAGAAGGTGAAATTTCTATCCGCACTAAAATCTCCACGTGGGTGTTTTAGCAGCTGTATTCAACATTATCAAAACTTGGAGGCTTCTGGAACTTCTATACCCTTGCCCCTCAGTGCTCAGCCTGGAACGCCCTTCACACATTCACCCTCCAAAGTTGATCTCAGATGCTTCCTCGGCCAGGAAGTCTTCCTCTGCACTCCCCCAGTACCTTTTTCATGCTGGTCAGGAATCCCTTCGGCTGCAAGTAACAGAAATTCTGACCAGCAGTGGCTTCAACACATGGGGGTGGGTGGGTATTTTTCCCTCAGGTAGGAAGGTAGAGGGTTGCTGACATTGGTTCAGTGATGCAGTAATGTCAGATCTGGGGTCTCTGAGATTCTCTCCACCTTCCCCTCATGACTACAACATGGCTGCCACTGCTCAGAGCATCAGACACCCACATCACATTCAAGGAAAAGAAGTGAGGGGCAGAGCAGGGTAGAACATTTCTCCTCATTTGCCTTTCTCGAATCCAGGAGGGAAAAAGGCTTTCCCAGGAGTTTGCAACAGGCATCCCTTATACCACACTCTAGAACAAGGGCCCCTTCAGCCCCAGCCTGGACCTACACTTCTGAGATGAAAGGACATGAACAAAATGGGGTCATGTCAACAGGAAAGGCCTTTTTTTTTTTTTTTTTGATCCTCTTTACCCATTTCACCCTCACCCCCACCCCCGGCAGCCCCCAATCTATTCTCTGTATCTATGAGCTCAGGGTTTGGGTTTTCAGGTTTCACTATAAACACGGTCCTATGGTACTTTTCTCTGACCCATGTCGCTTAGTGAAATGTCCTCGGGTCCGTCTGTGTTGTTCCAAGGGGCAAGTTTCATTCTTCCTTATGGCTGAGTCATATCCCAGTATCATGTGTATAATCACATACGTATCATCACTCACCCTTCCACGGACACTCGTGGGGCTTCCTCGCCTCGGCTGCTGTAAACAATGCTGCCGTGAGCGTGAGGGTCCTAATTAGGGTCCCGATCAGAGTCTCCCTCAGACAAACAGCCAGCGGAGGACTTCCTGGGTCAGAGGGTCGTTCTACGTTCACTTTTTCAAAGGACCTCCGCGCTGTTCTCCAGAGCGGCCGCACCGGGTCACATTCCCACCTGCACCGGACGAGGGGTCCCCCTTCTCCGCATCCCCGCCGACACCGGCTGTTCTGTGTTTCCGAAGACGGCCGTCCTGACAGTGTGCGGTGCTCTCTCGCTGTGGTGTTGACCTGTATTTCCCTCGGGATCGGTGACGCTGAGCATCTGTTCCGGTGCCTGGTGGCCATCTGGACGTGTTCTTTGGAGAAACGTCTGTTCCGAGCCTCCCACTATTTTTTAATCAGATTTTTTTTTTTTTTTTGCTATTGAGTTGTGCTGACTTCCGCCTGTTTTGGACATTAGCCCCCCCACCAGACAGACGATCTGCAGATCTCTTTCTCCCATCCTGCAGGTTCCCTTTTCCTTCTGTTGATGGCCTCCTTTGCTGTGCCGAAGCTTTTTAATTTGCTGTGGCCCCACTTGCTCATCTTTACTTTCCTGCCTTTGCTCCCGGCCTTTAAGACAAGTCGCTGCCGTTTCTTGTACTCCTGAAATGGAGCCCGGCCCGTAACTCAGAAAGTCTGTGAGGCAACATTCATGAGGCTCTGTGTACACATAAAATACCACCACCGCCTTGTGGCTGTTTACATCAACCTAAAAAAATTTTTTCTGAAGTGTATGCATTTATTTTTGAGAGCGAGAGCAAGCAGGGCAGGGGCAGAGAGAGGGGGAGTGAGCGAGAATCCCAAGCAGGCTCCACACCATCAGCGCGGAGCCTGATGTGGGGCTCAAACGCATGAACCAGGAGATCATGACCTGAGCCGAAACCTAGAGTCGAACGCTCAACCGACTGAGCCACCCGGGCGCCCCATGGATCAACCTTAACTTCTAAAGCGTGCAGTCCACGCCGCTGTCAGTGGCTCACTCCCAGGTTATAAAGTCCTGCTTTCGAGGGCTGTGTGTTTTCAGCAAAGAAACCATCCCGCATAACCTTCTAAGGACACAAATGCGCATTTCTAGTGGTAAAATCGGTCGCAGAGCAAGATCACGAGAGACCAAGCCGTTTGGACCGTTAGAAGTTCGCCTTGAAACTTTATCTGTTGTGCTATTCTCCCATAAGCTTCCGGCCCACCCCCCGGGCAGGTCTGCAGACGACAATGTATTTAACAACCCAAATATAACGGAAACAGCGGATGTCGTCGCGGCCCCCCCCCCCCACTGAAGACCAAATACAAAGGGCCAAACCAGCTTTCCATCACTCAGATGCCCGCTCTCACCCCCCAAAGAGTCAGCAGAAAGCACATCGGAGGAGGAGTTTTTGTTTAGGTCACGTAAAGGAAGTTTCTGAAAGTTCCTCCCAAACGCAAGGCAGCAGGGAGCTTTACCCTGGAACCCCGAACGTCCACCTCTGCTGAAGACACAGTCACGGCTGGTCCTCGCACACCTGCTCCGTCCCCCAGCTACCGACTAGAGATCTTCTGTGAGTTTCTGTAATTACCGACCGCGGGAGGCTTCCTCATTCAGTCTTCGCAAGCAAACCAAAAATAGAACTTCTATGAAAATATGTAAATACTGTAATTGAGTTTGGAATATTTCGCATCAACTACAGATGTCTCAAGATAGAATTTTCTTCCTAGCTCATTCACTTTCGTTAGAAACGCTTCAGTTTCCCAAAAAAGGAACACTCGCGTAACGAAAAGCCTATCTTCTTGCCGACAGAAAAAGAATCCCAGAGCACATGCACACCCACCTAGAACTGAAGGACCGGGACATCCGCGAGACAGGGCTCAACTTTTAGTCTCCACACCTTCCGGCTGGACCTCTGACTTCGTGCCGATTACCTTCCCGTTGTCGACACCAAGCAAGTACCCAGGACGACACTCAAACGGGCTGGCGAGGAAGGAGTGACAACATGTGCACGTCTACACAAGGGCAGAGGGCAGGGGGGCCAGGGAATAGCAGGGTCAGGGGACACCCAACCGTGGAGGAGCCCCCCCCCCCCACTCCAATACACAAGGGCATGCGGCCTCCGCATCTGTGCACCGAAGCAGCTCCGGGACCAGAGTCGCAGGATGTCCTGTCGTTGACGCAGGGGAACAGGAGCCCGGGGTGCACACAGACAGTGCCACCGCACTGTGCCTCCGGGCTGAGGGCTGCGACCAGACGCAGGAACGCTGCCAGGCAGACACCAGTGGTTCCGAGGGCACCACCAGGATCCGGAGTGACGGCACCAACCTCAGTGGTCGCCTCCCAGATTCTTCCTTGTTCCGAGGATGCGTGTTCCTGAGCGATTGGGGCCTAAGGATTTGGGCCACTTACAAGCTGCGCTTAAGGTAGAACAGGGAAGTTTCCCTTCTCTCGGATCAAGAAAGAGTAAGGCAGCCAGCCAGTGGCCGCAGAGGAGACGCCACCTGTGAGGCCTAGAGGGAGGGGACCGGGCCCTGCACCTTCCCCTCCGGCGAAGCCAGTGGGCCCCGCGCGGCCAGGGTGAAAGCAGTGACTTGGGCATCAGGCCCGAGGAGGCGCACAGAGTGGATTAACACATATCCTGGAACACCACCGGCTCTCAGAGACCACTAACCCCAAATCTGCTCTCAGCCAAGGACAGGGGCAGTGACAAGGAGCGGTCCCCGTGGGGGGCCAGCTCCCGGCTCAGGCCGGAACACCCCCCACCCCTCACCCCGGATACCTAGTAAGTAGAAGAAAAACAATGCCGGGCGTTAGCACGACTCTTCTGAGTATCTCAACCCTCCCAGTAGTTTTCTCAGGGAAAAAGGTGCTTCCGGAGATTCCGTGCCCACCACAGGGACTCTGCGGGCCGTTCCCAGCTCTGCATTAGCTCCTCGCCCGTGTCGCCTGGCCAGCCACCAGCGTGATGGCCGGAACACAGGAGGGCTGTGAACACAGGCGCCACCAGACTCGAGGGGGCACAGGGCCGGGGGAAGTCCCAGACACCGGGCCCCTAGTGTGCGGCGGACAGAACTGAACACGGGCTCCCCTGGGACGGGACAAGGAAACTCCTAAGTGAAGACTTCCCACCTAAAATTCAATGAAGCAAACGCAGAGATGTTTAAAAATGACTTTGCTGTTCAGAAAAGGGACTTACAGGCTCCATGGATGTGACTAAGGGCACGGAACGCTGGGAGTTTTGAGAACCGATTTTGCAAAGCTGCCCGTTGGTGCACAGTCTCGGGGGGACCGCGATGCAGGGGCCGAGTGGGAGCCCAGAACCTACCTTCCTGGTCTCTAGATCTGAATGAGGACTCGTGTACCTGATCCTTAGTGTAAATTTCTTTCCCTCTCAGTGTCGTTTCTCATGAAGGCCAAAGGGGCCAGCTACACGCTTTTCTATACACACGAAGCCTTCTCGCAAAACCGCCACTTATGAAGAACACAGACTCCTTGAACATCATTCACTATGTTAGTGATTTCTTCTTTACGTATGGAAGCGATTCTGTTACCTGCTGTGGAAGAAATTACTCTTGGAAGGGAGGGGGAAAGAGTTAAAGTTAGACACGATGAGCTCGGAGGTTGTCACCCGCATACGGATTTTTTCATTCGGGGCATAAATATAGACTTGGTTTTCTAATGAGACACGCGAGCATTCCTAATGGTTTTGATTCGAACAGAAAGTCAGACTCAGAACACCGTGGAGGCCAGGTCATGTCTAGCGGCAGGTGCGCTGGCCTAGTTGAGGCTCCAGGTTAGGGAGTTTCTGGGCAACAGACATCTGTAATAGTTGGAAGGAAAAGTCCTTTACAAACTACTTAGAAAGACAGCTACACATACCCAGTCCGTACGTGAGCAGTGTTCACACGTGTGCCCTCACTGGGAGACCCCAGCCGCCCACGGGGTCTGCACCGCGGATGCTGGTTTGTGTCAGTGCTCGATATCCTGACCACCCGAAACTCACTGTTTTAGCACTTTCTTTTCTAATCAATCTTGGGTTTTTTTTTTTTTAATGTTTTATTCTTCTAGTATCTTTAAGATATAAAAATCTCTTGATCTTCAACCATTATCTAGAAATGACACAAGGGGACCCACACAGCCCACGGACCTCCAGCAGGGCTCGGCTCACGCAAATGCCCTTTCCCGAAGGGCCGTTCGCTCTAGTGTCTTCATTTACTGTATTCAGACCCAGGAGAAAGCTACTCTGAACAGTGAATGTTCTGGGACGCCTGGGGGGGCTCAGTTGGCTAAGCGTCCAACTTTGACCCAGGTCAGGTCATGATCTCACAGCTCGTGGGTTCGATCCCCGTGTCAGGCTCTGTGCCGACAGCTCAGAGCCCGGAGCCTCCTTCGGTTCTGTGTCTCCCCCTCTCTCTGCCCCTCCCCTGCTCACACTCTCTCTAAAAGATAAATAAACATTAAAAAAAATTTTTTTAAGTAAATGTCCCCCACCACACCTTTATGTACCTACAACGGTTCTGTTCACTCAGATCCACGGGTCCTTGGACACACACTTCAAGTTCTAACTCAAAAGTGTCTAAGTATAAATACTGAGTGACTGTTCAGTGACAAGTCAGAAGTACTGAGCACCAGGACTTAACGGTGTTACTCTCGCGATCCCTTTCTCAACCCTTAAGTTCTGAGGAGACGTACAGGGCCAAATTCATGTAGTGAAAACAAAAACGGCACCACAGGAAAAGGTCTGCCTTCAGGAAACAAGACTACAGAGCGTCGACATAAAGGAGCCTCTAGAGAGTTCTTTCACACGGCTCACTTCATGCAATGCCATTTTCATGCTGCCAGTGACAGAGGTGACAGGATTACAAGGTGGCCACCGACAGAATGACAGCGACTCTGCGGCATTTGTCAACGGTGCTCTGTAGAGCACTTCACGATGGCACCGGAAGGAGACACAGGTCCTCGGACACACGCGTGTGGCTGTGCAAATTTAATTGGTTGTCACGTTACTTGATGTACTTTTGAGCGGGATTTGTGATCGATACATGAAGGGAAGCAAAAGTCTGAGACAGGACAGGGAGAGGGACACCAGCGGACCGTTTGGGGACGGTGGACGCTGACGGAGGGAAAACCCGGGTCTGGCAAAACAAGAAAGCCAAGGATAGCCCGTACCTCTGATGAACACATTCAAACTGTAAAATGGCACTCAAAAATCAGTGTTTCATGAAGTCAGGTAAAAAGTGCCGCTGCTTAATGAAGGTTTCGAGAAGCTGGCACACTGAGTAAATGGACACCGCAGACCAGACTTCACGGTGTCTAGAATTCAGGGCTTGCTCAGGCCCTGCTCCCTGCAAACCACACGGGGAGGCCGGACTGCGTGGGTGAGCGTCTAGGCCGCAGAACAAAACGGAGTGAAATCAAACTTTCGTCACTCTTGACTGGGAGACGCCAACAGGGCTGAGAGGAGAGGGGACACACAACAGCCATTCTGAACAAAAAGTACGCACGACCACATCTGTGTCTACGTTACTCAGTGTGTTCGACTTAGGGACTCTGAAGGGAACGGTGACGTGCTGTGTAAACTTTACGTGGTGAAGTCCTGGGCGTTTTGCACGGGCTTTCCACATGCAGCAGAACTTACTTCAGAGCCGACAGCCTATTTCACAGTATTATCTGAGCGTCACACACAAGCAACACGTATATACTGCAAGTTTATTTCAATCACACAAACGAAGTTAGCGTGTAGGAAATTTAAATGAAACAGTACGGTAAAAATGGCAGAGAACCGAAAAGGCTAAAGAGGAAGCACACCTAAAGCACGAGAATCCAACATTCGTTAGTGTTTCGTCCTCGGTTCCGACGGACGCTTGACGCTGGCAAAGTGTGGACGAACCGCGACCGGGACAGCCGTTCCGGAGAGACCTCGGCACCGGCGGGAGGTGTGTACATTCAGTTGGTTTGCGATGGACCGTCGGCCGTTGACACAGCGCACAGGACGGATTGGTCACGGGTCAGATCACAGTGTTGAGGAAAGAAGTGCCTTCCTGTAACTAGAAAGAACCCCTGAACTGCACTCAGCTTCAGACAGCCCGTGGACTAGAGCACAAAAACCATCACTTGACGGGGTTCCGAGGAACATCGCTCTGAGAATCCCGCGTGAGTTACTGAAATCTCTAACGATGACAAAACTGTCACGAAGGACAGCGGATGTGTACAGTGATTTCATCAAACGTCTTGTAAAGAACACATTTAGCAATCCGGGATAATGCAAAATGATGGAAAATGGCGTGATTCAACACTGGTTTTCTGTCATTTTACACAGATATCCTGCTAATGTTAGACCAAAAGGCACGAGACAGTTAGTGCGTAAACCGGTTCCTTTTTGAGATCTAGCGTTTTACTGCAGTCTTTTATCTCACTTTGGACCACGTGCACCCAGCATCCTATCCTACTAGAGACCAACAACCAACAAAATCAAGTGATTTCTCACCAGATTTATAGGGGACATAAGCATTTATACCATCGAAGTGTCTGCATAACCGAAAGTACAGTAATAAAGATGAAAATGCCTCCTAGTTCTTCTAGAAAACAGTACTTCAGAAGCCTGCCGCATCTTGAATGCCTTTACTACTGCCTGACCATGACGAGGGACAGGAAACACAACCACAGACCTGAGTGAGGACAGCTCACCCATCACAGATTAATGTCAAACTGCAGTTTCTACACAAACGGGAACTACCGTAAGCAGGAAAAACCTCCCTGTTCACACCGTTTGGAAGGGTAATGGCAAATCTGCAGCCTTTAGAAAACTATGCTATCGACAAGCTCCGTCTTCCCAAATGAGATTACGAAATCTAGAAAGCAGATGAAAATGGATTATTTCTTCAAAACTTTAGTGAAACTTCAGATAATCAAAGATTTCAAAGCAAGTATGGCACGTAACTGAAGCATACATCAAGACGGAGAGCCTGGAGAGTTTCTGATTTCCTAAATTTTCAAAAAAAAAAAAAAAAATCTATCATTGCAACATACAGAATGTCTCCCCTATTTTAATCTTCATGAGTTTCCAGGAGAAGGGTGTGGATTACGAACGCACGCACACACACCCGAGTCGGGGTCAGCAGAGGATCTGATCCCGTCCTCCTACCCCAAGTCTCACTCTGTCACCAGAGAACTACTCAGAGCCCCTCGCCGGTCCCCGCTGCCGCGTGACTGACGCCTGTGACCTCAGTCGCTGCTGACATTGCCACTTCTTATGTTTCCACACAACACAATTCAAGAGCAGCTTTCCTGGTCAGAACATGCACCTGAACACCTGTCCGACTGCAGGACACCTAGGTCATAGTAACTGCCAGATTCAGGGATCGAGTTTTCGAGTCCCACAGTATGATGTGATTCATGTGAAGCTCAGAATCATGTTTCAGACCACTGAAATTACCGAAGCTAAAACACGAACAGCTGAAGACATGATGTAAAAGATTGAGTACTTGGTTCTGCTAACATATTTACCAATTAAAGTCACAAAATATTCCTCATTATTATTCATGCAGGTAATTGAGAAAAAAAGACAATGCAGAAATTAACTTTAAATGAAAACTTATTCCTTCCCTTCCTCCCACCCCCTACACTCTACAAAATGTTTTCCCTGGGACCAGGCCTTGAAAAGGCCACTACATATTAGTGTGACATGCATTACTGTTTGCAATTAAAAAAGCTAATTTTGTGGTGGTTGTAATTACATTATAAAAATGTCCACATGCATAAATCTAAAAAAGGTTGAAAACCTACAGTAAATCTACAATATATTGTTTTACATTTGACCACTGGTGTGTGTTATGTAGGAGTCATAGATTTGGTAAAGCATTTTAACAATTTAGGAAGGCATCTAAATCTTTAAATTCTGGATGAATTTTATGTTGTAATCTACAAAATTGCATGAAGGCTAACTCGAGAGACTTCCTATCATTCTAAAATTCCTCAAGCCAGACAAATCATTTTTAGGACACTTTCTTATAAATATCGCCCTTTGAAAGCACATACAATTCCATTTGTTCCACGTTTTAGGATCTTAACCTCCACAGGGCTGACCTCAATTACGGAATATCACACGTGATAGGAAGACAAACCTGAGAGAAACATTTACAATACAATAGCGTAACTTGCTAAATTCTTCGTCAGCACTCTCTGAAAACAAACTTCTTAAGCCTTTCTCCTCTTTATTTTAGCAATGGGTTGTGGAAAACGTGCGATTTCGTCTTGACATGAAAATATCTCAATGCACGGCGATTCTGCCTGATGGGCTTAGGGTTTTCTGCATAACCGTGAAATGGGAACTCTTATCCGACCCTTCCATCCTGTTGAAAAGGTCAGAAGGAAGCAGCAAACTGGAGGCAAATCGCTGATCGCCAGAGCAACAGCAACTGAAGGCTCACGAGTGCGCCGGCTCTCCTCCTTCCGACCATCTGTATCCACTTTCTTCTCGCGGCTCACAAAACGAAGGGGCTTGTTGTTAACAGCTGTTGTTTGCAGGGGTCTTTTTTCTTCCTCCAGCTACGGTCCTGTTTCTCCTGGGCTTGCTTCTCTACGCAGAATTGGACTTGCTCAGTTCTTGCCTGATCGCTGGGTACGAGAAGGAAACGCGTTGCGAGTAAATTTGACGTGGAGGGAAAGATTCATTCCTAAGAACCCTCAGCGACTGTGTTCAAGCGCCCAGCAAAAAGAGATGGACTGACCTTGCACAGACCTTTGTTTTCTTAATACAAAGATGGTACTAATTCTTATGTGTGTACACACACACACACACACACACACACACACACACAAGCACACACGCACACTCATTCACTCACTCTCTCCCTCCTGCTTACAACACAGAAGGGTGGATGCCACGGGCTCAGAACAAGAGGGCAGCGGGTGGGACTGGAGGACAGGCAGGGACGGGCCAGCTCCCCTGGACTCCACACCTGAGATGTCAGGACTTCTTTACCTGGGTTTTTACGGCTTCCACTGTAAGGAGCGGGCTCTTCCCGCACCCGGACCCACGCGAAGGGCAGGATACTATGCGAAAGTAATTGGTTTATGCCCCCAAGCAATAAAGTGGTTATTTCTTTACGTGCAGATCTTTAAAGACAGGTATCGTCAAACGGTACAGGGGCAGCAAATCTGCTGACATACTCACCATCAATGAGCTCTTCTTTTAGCTTTGTTAATTCTTTTCTCATTTCATCTAAAATGTCCTAAAATATTAGAGAAAAACAGGAATGCAGAAAAAAATTACTCCTCCAGATACTCTTGCTTGCATAAAATTCTGAGAATATATGAAGTTTGATGTATGGTTTTGCTGCCAGACCACTTATGTCTTAGGGTAGCCTCGGCAAATCATGTTTTAACAGTCTTCTCTGATTCCAGCCTAGCGAAACATGAGACACCAGAATGCTTTCTAAAACTAAAAATAATTCTGCTGTCCAGAGAAAGGCAGGATTCATCTGATTTCTAGAAAAGACAACAGCTCTGCTTTGAACCTCGTCTTCTGGGAGCGGTCTCAGAGTTGGTGCAGAACGAAATTTCAAGGAACAGGAAAACTACACCAGACGAGCAGATCCTGGCCAAGCGGTGATCCGGTCCGAAGCACAGGATTCCCCGGGGGCCCCGCCACGGCTGCCAGCTGTGTTTCGAGGACTCCGGGACTCCCCCGGCGGGCCCTCGGGGCTGCCCTACCGGGTGGACACGAGGCTGGAGGGGGCCCTGCTGGACCCGCAGGTCCGAAATGGCAGGCACCAGCCGCGCGCAGCCACCGAGCACCGGAGACGTGGCCAGGCTGGGCTGAGACGCATCGCCCGTGTAAAACGCACCAGAGTTCAAAGATTCGGCGTGAAGAAATAATGTGTGATGACGTGTAATAGCTCCTCAGTAATTTTTAAACACTGATTAATATGGAAATATTATTTAGTTCTATTAGGTCAAGTAAGATATAGTGGAATGAATTTCGCCACTTCACTGACTTCCCGCGGCTGCCACAGATTCTCTGGCATTCACATGACGCCTGTCACACTACGATGCAACAGTGTCGACCTGGGTGCTCCTTCCTCCAGGAAGACCATTCCATCCTCGAATATTTTGCAAAATCTCGATTTCCAAGTTGACTTGGGAATAATAGACACCCCCACCCCCTTAAAAAATGGCCAAGAACGGGGTCATGTGACAACTAAAAGGGTTTTTGACAAGGCGATACAATCTGAAAAGTAACAGCTACCCTCGGGGTGGACTAGTTCCCGGCGTGCGACCTTCTTTAACGTTGCACACTTCAGGTTCAGATTCAGCTGCTCTGCTTAAGGTTCATTTTCGTAAAAGGTTTTTCAGGTTTAAAGTAAGGTCGAAACTATCAGTAACTCCCCCACTTTACAATAAGGAACAAGCACAGCAGTTATCGGAACAGCCTCACTGTGTCCTTATTCCAATCACTAGGAAAATCAGCGCTAAAATCAAACCTCTCCTCTCTTCTCCTCCCCTACAGACAGCCAAGAGTGTACCACGTTCTCAAGCGTGTGCAAGTACTCTACTTTAAACTGTTTTCAAGAAAAGAAAGTCACGTTACATATATGGGAAAATAGGGGCTTGATCATCAATGACCTCAAGCTTCCTTTTCAAACTACCTAACTCAATTTAACTTTTCAAACAGCTCTGCAGTTTATAAAAATTAGGTTTATCCGAAACATTGTTAGCATTTCTCTCCTTAACTCGTATTTGACTTTAATTCCGAACTCCTGCCACCGCAACATTATCCGTCCCTTTTTGAGCCACGAACATCTGCTAGCATTTCAAAAAAGGAGTGACGCCATGGGGAGAACGGGCCTTGAGGAAAGGTCTGGGTTCTGATCCCGACTCGAACTACGGACGGGGCTGCGGGGCTGAGCGGCGTAACTTCTCAGAACCTCCGAAGCACACAGTTGGAGTATACACGCTGTTGGACGGGCCTCCACGAGGACCCCTAGACGGTGCCGCACCGTGAGCCCGGCCAGTGCCCGGCCTGCGCGTCCGCCAGGGGGTCGGTACGAGGCCACCACGGGGCCTGGTGCGGTCCCCGCTGTCAGAGGCCACCGGGTGTGCGGGATGGGAAGGCCAAGGGGACGCTCTCGCTGCGGCTCCTCTGGGCTCAGGTGCTCCGGCTGGCCTTCCCCTTCGAATCTTTTTAACACTACCAATTTTTTAAAAACATATTCCACCTCCTCCAGGAATAAAATCTTGGAAAGTCCACCATCTCCTCACCCGTCACTCCTTCTCCTTTCCTGCTTCCGAGCACGTCCTCGTACAACGTGTGTCCACGTACGACATGCATCCACGTACGATGCACGTCCGCGTACGACGTATGTCCGTGTACGACGCACATTCAGGTACGACATGCGTCTGCGTACGACGTATCCAAAATACGGACATCTTTTTCTTTTTCATAAAGGTGGGCTAACTGTTGGCACGGGTTGGTCACTGTTTTGCCAGCACGGGTGAGGGCTCACGATCCAGTATTAAATGCTCTCAACTGTGACTCCTTCATGGCCGCTGGGTGTTCCCCCACACCGTCCATCTGTATACTTCTACAGTATTTTCTTAGCATAAATTCCTGGGAGTGAAATTTCTGGGTTCAAAGGTAAGATATTTATCTTGTTTTCCCAAACTGCTTTCTAGAAAACAGAGGTACCGGAGAGTGCCCGTCTCCCTCCCATTCTGGACAAGGCCAGGTCTGTTGGGTCCATTTTTGCCAGTGTCCGGTGACAAGTGCAAGCCTATTTCCCTTCGCAATTATACGCCACACACTCACGTTTAAAGTTTATATTGCGCCACTGCTGGAACTTTACATTAATGCCCTGAACCAAAAAAATTAAGGTTTGGAAACAATAATACACTACTAATGCTATTTCATTTGTATAAAAATATCTAAACTCTACATTCTTCTTTTTAACTTTTCTTTACTTGAGAAAGGGAGAGAGGGAGGGAGGGAGAGAGAGAGAGAGAGACATGGAGGGAGGGGAGGGTGGAAGGGAGGGAGAGAGAGGGAGAGAGAGGGAGAGAGAGGGAGAGGGAGAGAGAGGGAGAGGGAGAGAGAG